CAGTCATCAAGACAGACATCAAGAATGGCAGCCATCAAGAACAAACCGTGGTAGCAGCGAAATGGGGTCAGACCCGGTCTTAAAATCACGTACTTGCGGATCCGTTGGATCCCGTGGCCGCCTTTCTGAGCACGCACGGAACCAAAGCGTGCGTCTCCACGACGGCTGGCTTCAAACAACGTTATCGTTAATCACTAGCCGTGCTCCATACACTGCAACGGCTGTGCGAACTGAAAGGCTGGTCATTAAACAAGACAGCAGTATTTGTCTTATTCCTCGTAGAATAACCAGGAGAATGGAGAGATAGATGGATTTATATTACGGCTGCATGTTTATATTCACCAAAGCATATATATGCCTTCAGATAATGCTTTCGATAAAGGTATGCGACCAAAATATGAATGCATCTAAACCCCTTTCTTCTGGTTATCCCACGAGGAGTAAAGCAGACAGTATGTGCCTAATGTTCCTCACAAACGCACTCAACAACCCACGTAATGCAGGACATTTCAGCTCCAGGGCAGCGCAAGCCCCATATATACAACACACTGAAAGCAAAAACGCCGATGAGTGGAGGAAGCCAACGGAGACGCCTGGCGCCACACCACAAAAACTGGTGAGTGCGTGCGAGTTTCAGACTCGGACGCCCAACAGTCCAGGCCACCGGTCACGCTCACACACAGCTGCAGTGTACTGGTGCAGCTAGTTCGTCATTCTTTTTCATTTTCGGGCGCCTTCAGTGCCCATTTTTCATTGGCCGGTCAGAGTTGGGTTAATATACGTTCGCAACTTATTTACTGCTGCGTAATGCCATTTTTATATATGATGGATTGTGGCCCTTGAGACGATTGGATGTGGGACAATGTAACCTAAGCCGGGCCAGGTCACATAGATGCTCTCGTTTCAACTGCCGTGTTGCTGAAATGGCCATGTCGAATGGTACCAAGTAAGGTGGCCGGGCTTGTCACGCGACACATGCCGCCACCAGATGGCGTGCCGTGCCAGGCGGCCGTCCTCTGTGAACGACGGTGTAACCTGGTGCCACTTGTAGTCAACAGCGCTTAACTGCCTTCGGCGTCATTTGGCCAGACACGGATCAAAAAGTCGCCGGAGCTTGACATCAGGGCACGAAACTATCGGCGTGTCATGAACTCCGGTCAGTGACAAACATTGACGATGTCCAGCATCAAGGGTTGTCTTTAGGCTTGATTCCTCCTAGAGCATGCCTATGTGACACCGGCCATGCAGCTGAGTGGAGCTAGGTCGTTACAGGAGAGCCAGAATTGAGGTACGGTGACGCTATGGGAGATCATAAACATCCCAACAGCTTGGCTTTCGGGGGGCTGATGCAACTTCCGGATGTTTGTCAGACTGTGGATGGATGCTGTAGCATATTGTAGTTATATTTTATATGTAGTTGTAATTATTGATGTTGTCGTTATTGCTGTCATTGCTGAGAACGTTCTTGTTATTGTCACTGATGTTGCTGCTGTCATAGACGTTCTTGCTGTTTATTCAACCACACACAGCTGGTGCAATTATACAAGGTCTTTCCAGTGCAGGGTTTTCCGTGACTACAGCTTGCCTAGTTTTCGGGATATTAGGGAGCCTCTGAGGCCACTCTGATAAAGCGAAGTTGAAAAGAGTTGAGGCATAAGGCCTGTTCGCACAGAGACTACAAAGAAATTTAACCCTTTTCCTCAGACAAGCAAAATAATGCCGTACAAATTTCTTGCAGCTCGGAAGAGCCCTAAACAGCAGATATATTTGCGACAGTCGTCTTTTGTCATTGATTTTGAGCTACTGACCAAAGCGCTGCAGGAATTATATGCTGTTGATGCTTACTGGCCTGTCATGTGTAAAGGCTTAAGCCAAGACCTTGTCTAGACTTTTGTGGCAAAGACAAAACACATCGCAGAAAGCAATGATGTTGAATGACCGAGAGAGCATGCCGCTGCTTAACAATTAGCCTTTACCCAAAACGACGTGAGCTGTTAAGTGCATTTATGAGGAACATTATTCATATAGATAAGACAGTAGTAATAGCCTTATTCCTCGGAGAGAACCAGCAAAATGGAGATGTAGATGTGTTGATATTTCGGCAACCTGCCTTTATCCAAACGAATAGCAGAAGTTCTGCTATTCGTTTCGATAAAGGCATGTTACAGAATAGCAACGCAACTATATCTCCATAACCCTGGTTTTTCCTCAAGGAATAAGGCTATTACTAATGTCTGATCCCACCCAAAGTGACCACAAGTGATCAAAGTGAACGGTTAATGGCAAAATACAAGTTTTGCTTTACAGGCCCTTGAAGTATGAATGTTTTGGTTTAAACCACTCGCAAAGTCATCAAATTGGCACTCTCAGAAGCTGGAGGGAGAAGGCACAGCATTATGACTATAAGCTTATTAATCAATCAAAAAGCTGCATGGCAGCTTGAAGAGAAATCACGAAAATAACAACAATGATTCGCACAACTAATAGGAAGAATATCATGCATGGTAAAGACATTGACCTAGTTGAATCTAGCGGACAGTAACAGAAGAACGGTGGTACGGTAGTCAAATTTAAAGAACTCATTAATTCGCCTGCAAATAATACACGACTGGTGATTGCGTTCAAGGATATTTTCATCTTCATAGTCAATAAGAAAACCATTTGTTACGACACTTCAAGTGCTATCCATTTGGAGCAGCATATGCGTTTCCAATCAAGCCTTACAATCCGTCTGCATGGTGTGCTTGATCACCCGATGCGTGATAATTAGAAATTGGCTAGCAGTCTGCCCAGCAACGTACAGCTATGTCCTGTAATGCCGTAATTATGTCGATTATTTTTGAAACGACAGCAAAATGGTTCGCACATACACTGGGAAATGTCACAGGCTTCCATCAGACCGTTGGACAGTAGCATAGGTGCGTCATATAATTCATCAGACCGTAGGACGGTGTTGCATCGGAAACGTCGCATAACTTCATCAGACCCTGAGGACATTATTACAGGTTCTTTAGAACGCACAGGCGTAGGGCGTACGTAAGTGCTACTGCTGGGACTCAGGTGAGTTCCGTGGATGATTGAGTCGAACCGGAAGGCAAGGACCGAGCAACTTTTTGCCGCCACCTATATATAGCGTAAAGCCTATACAACGCAGCACCTTCAGCAAGCGTAGCATGAAGCCTTACTGAGCTCGCTTAAAGCCTGCCGTGTAAGAGGATTAGCCTACCTCATGAGCCCTGCAAGTCACGACACTACGTGATGCTGAACTGTTAAACAAGGTGGAGACATTTAAGAGCACAATAACACTCCAAAGTCTGGCGTTTTTAGCGGTCCCAGTTTTGCATCCCAAGGTAGATGCTGGAGGAAACGGCGGCGGCGATCGACAGGTCACCATCCGCCTGCGCGCGAAGTACACATCACCGGCGGACACCGGTGTACATGGGCAAACACACCACCGGTGTTTACCTATGCGGCCTCTATAGACCTCCCCACCGATCTTCTGAGTCGCTCGACACGTCACCACACAGCTGAGTGCTTAAAATAACATCATGTTGGGCTCGGACGGAACTGCTTTACATGACCGGAAGATGCTCCTGACGAAAATCGAGCGCTTCGTTACCGTGCAGTTTAATAAAGTTCGGAACCACGTGGTAATGCTCCGGCCATTGTGAAGAGCGTGGTGATATGGGCTGTTATGCACCACGCTAGAGCGGATTTGCCGGCTCTTGATATTTATCTTGATGTACATGGCTGGGCCTATGGGGCCCCTGAGGAACAGCCCTGCCGGTGGTGGGCGTTGGTGGAAGAAGACGTGCTGGAGAGGCTTACTGATCAGACAGTGCACCGGCTCAAAGCGTCCTGCCATCTGGCGGTGCGCAGGCCAAACTTTGGTTATGCCATTACGGTATCCCTATAAATCATAATCCTCATCAAGCATCATCATCACAAGTTGTGATATTGTGTTGCACGAATGCGTGACCTTATCCTTCCGTCAAGCACGACGGGGATGTAATCTTTTGCACAGATAATCAACAGTAGCCTCGATGACATGTACGTGCGTCCTGTTGAAAATCGAACCTTTTTTCGAGTGTGCATTTTAGCTTGGTGGTGACACTCAACCATCCGCAGGTGTAAGCGAGTCCGCCTTTTGTGTTGCCATGCCAACATGAGGACGTCGCAAAATCGGATGGCGCTGTATGGAGATTAAGGCTATGTTTAACGCACGCGTAGGAAGACTAGTTAATTGTCTGTAGTAAGTTTAGGCAGCCATAATTAGCCTGTCACTACATCACACAAAATGATTACAGCTGAGATAGTCCTGTCAGACTGATGTGGCAACAAACCGGAATTTGGCCAAAGAAGCAAGGTAGCATGTATTCGCATACAGCTTACACAATGATCCAACAGCAATCGGTCTTTCCGGAGCACAATGCGCTGGTTCAGTGGCGGTAATCGACATGACTCATATTTCTGCATGACTTTTTCCGGCAAAAGAGAGGCAACTTTACCTCGTAATTCCGATATCCTTGTTTTAGAGACATTTGTGGATTTGCCTGAAGGCGCCGCTGCAACGGTTTACTCAGGGTAACGTCCCACACGAGGCTTAGCAATGTGCAGCGCTGGCATCGCCGAGCTCAGCAGCGCCCATGCGCAGCATTCAGGATCACACCTGTCCTCCCTCATGGTAACGTCACAGCCTTGTAAGCGGTGTGAAGGAGGTACTCAATCGCAGGGGTGGACCATGTTATATATTTGGAGACGATCTGGTCTCCCCCCCCCCCCCACTCTCTACCCTGTTTCTGAGCATGTTGAGCATGTTGAGCACAAGGCATGTTGGCCTCTGGGTGTTGCCTGAAGGAACGACATACCATTGTGGCTAGTGCACTGCCAATCGTATGGTGAACGTCTCACCATTGCTCACAAGGCTTGAGTCGGCGGAGTGGTGCGACACTCAGCACCCACTGCGCCATCACTGAACGGTGGAGCACGACACTCGACACTCACACGTCATCACTGAACGGTGGAACACAACACTCAGCACTCACACGCCATCACAGAACGGTGGAGCACAACACTCAGCACTCACACGCCGTCACTGAACGGCGGAGCACAACATCTTAGTTGTGCTCCGCCGCACTTACACGCCATCATAGAACGGTGCAGAACGGCACCCGACACTCACACGCCGTCACTGAACGGTGAAACACAGCACCCAGCACTCACACGCCACCACAGAACGGCGGAGAACGGCACTTGACACTCACACGCCGTCACTGAACGGTGGAGCACAACACTCAGCACTCACACGCCATCACAGAACGGCGGAGAACGGCACTCGACATTCACACGCCGTCACTGAACGGTGGAGCACGGCACTCGACACTCGCACGTCATCACTGAACGGCGGAGCAGCACACTCAGCACTCGTAAGAGGTTGATGGGCGGCGAGGCACGCCACTAGCTCCCTCTCCATGGACGGGCGTGGCGGTGGTACTCACACAAGCTCGAGGGTGCTGTCCATGGTCTCGCCGTCCGGCCACTTGAAGTAGCAGAGGGTGCGAATGCTGTTGTCCTCGTATATGAAGGTGAAGGTTTGGCTCGCCTGCGGTGGGGGCGTTCACAGCTGACCCATGGGCTACCGTGATGCCACTTTTACCCACCCCTACTATTCTCTTGACATCAGTTCCGAGCGGTAAACGTCGGAAGCTACGGCTGTGGGCGCTCTAACTGAAGCAGTCAGCCCGCTCCCGGCCGGGAAGGGAGGAGGGGGTGGAGTTTGATTTCCTCCTAGGATCTCCAACTTCCAGACGTCTTATGAGAAAAATAACGATACCATTCTGATGATCATATCAAATCATGGAGAATGCACACCACATTTTTCACGCTACGTCAAATGTAAGGTCACCAGAGATCAAAAGCGGTGGGTCCAATACGTGCCGTTAAAACCTATATCACCAGGTCAATACGGATATTGAGGGCACGGAAGTAAGCGTTAAGACTGTGGGAAGTCCATTCTGACCACTTGTGTTCTCCCATGTGGGTCAGGTCCGACCAGGTCATCGTTCAAAATTGGTATGTCAGGAGGGTAGAATAATAATGCTTTTCACAACGTAGTTCTAAGTTTATGTTAATGAGGTGCAGCCATTCAAAAGTATCTTGAACTCTGAAACACGATTGTGGACTGACCTTGCGGCCATCTGAGGTCAACCTAGGTCAAATTTATAAATTTAAAGCACCACGCCGCTGCAGCAGACCTGAGCCTCGTCGCCCGCCACCGCAAGCCCGAGCTCACCTGGGCACTGACAGCATGCGCTGTGATGCATTTCAAGCCATAACTCAGTCCTTGTTACAGATAATTTATTAAAACTTGGTTCTAGTTTCACAGCCGTATATAGAACGTAATTTGATATTTTCATAATTATTGGTCTTAGTCCAAAACATGTTGAACGTACTCTTTGTGAATATTTTTTGTCTTTAACATCCCTGTATTTCAATGTGCAATATTGAAACAAATCAACGACAGGGCATGTTAACAGTGGACTAATTTGCTCACATTTTCTATATACGGATGTAGAGTATGACTTTTCGTTTGGTTTCTATTGTAAGTTGTCTACAGCAATGCGTTTTTGTAAATTAATCGGCAAACATCACGTCACTCTGACGTCAATCACGCTTGCTCTATAAAGTCTCATCACTGTTATTTTGACACTAGGCGTAGAAAATGTCGAATAAGTTAAAGCTGCTGAAAGTTTTGTAGCGAGATCTCGAGCCGTTTTTGAACTATCAGATATTGCACATCGGCAAATTTGATCTCCCACCGGTCAATGCCGGGCATTAAGTAGCGCAAAACGTGATTAGTAATTGAAACTTGCAGCCTGCTCAATATTGCTTGAGAGCACACCGAATTCATCATATTTGAAAGATGTGCTCACGGACGTCAGATCTGAACGGCTCGGCGATATTTTCCTTTTTGGCCTTGAACGTCACATGACCTATGGGGTGACATGGTTCGAATGACGTTGCTATGGCGTCATGCATGCATGATTATCCTTGAAATAATCTGCACGAAATAGACCGCACATCCTCGCGGACGTGTAGCTCAGAAACTAGGGAGTTTTACGTCTTAAGAAAGGCAGGGCAGTGGACTACACCGAATGCTCAAGGCTGCTTTTCTGTTCAAAACCGCATACAAAGATGAAATGGTCCCTTTACCGTCGCCAAGCCAAAGTGCCGCCACAGTTGTTATCTTAGGTCCTCTTGGCCTTGTTGGCATTGCCTGATCCACTGCTGAGACCAAGACGAGATAATACCAACCGCTACCGGGACCAGGATGATGCAATACTTAGCGTTGCTGAGACCAAGACGACGCAATACCAACCGCTGGTTTTTACTACACCAATGCAGCCGAGGCTACTATCTAGCACCTGAGGCTCGTGGCCGTTCGGAAAAAAACAAAAGTTTAAGTTTAAATGATACAAATTAGCTTATTTAAAACTAAAACTTCATTACTTTCACCTCCTTCCTAAAACAGTGGGCGGCACCGCCTCATGCGCTCACCCCTCCCCTCCCCTAGCGGGTTGTGGACCCCGCTCCCACGCCTTCAAGCCAGGCTGGACAAGTGGATGTTGGGGCCGAACAGAGACGGGCGCTCCATCGAACCATTACGTGGGCTTGAACGACACAACTTTGCACGCCCGCTTGCGTCAGATCACCTACCGGCCTAGATGCGCGCGCTTCATCAGACAGCAAACATTCATCTCCAGTATGTGCAATAACGCCCACGTCTTGTGATGCATTCGAGCAGGACGGCTGGCGGCTGAAAGCTGAGCTGGCAAACAGTAACCTTTATGACCTATGACCTTGATCTGTCAAGGTCATACCACTGCCAAGCGTCGGTGTATCCCGCGATCAGACGCCGCCTGTCCGACCTTTCAGAGTCACACCGCAAAACCGCCAAAAATCACATTACGGGGCGGGCTGGCTGACTTTGACCCGCGCCTTCCATCAGCTTACAACTAAGCTCGCTTTTAACAGAGCTGCTAAGCTCTTGCAATCCACAGATTGGAAGTCTTCGCAGCCCACAATGCCCCAGACGAGGATGGCGAGCTCTTAGTCCAACTCGATGGGGATAGCAGGACCTGAGTCGGATGATCGCCAGAATCACAGCATGCGTCACTGTGCGAGTTTCAACGCTCGACGCGTCCAGTGGCTCTCACCTCGTAGAGTAGAGCGGCCAGACCGGCGGACACCAGCCAGATCGCGATGGTGGCGAACAGTGTCAAGTGGCTCTCACCTCGTACAGTGGAGCGGCCAGACCGGCGGACACCAGCCAGATCGCGATGGTGGCGAACAGTGTCCAGCGGCGGCTCATGCGTGGCTGAAGCGGGTGCATGATTGCGGAGTACCTGCGCCACAAGGGTCACAGGGTCAGCACACGGGTTACACGATCAGCACACGGGTCATAGGGGTGGCACGCATGCCACACTTTCCGATACCGGGTCACAAGGGTCAGCACACAGCTTACAGGGTCAGCACACGGGTCACAGGGTCAGCACATGGGCTACAAGATCAGCACACGAGTCATAGGGTCAGCACACGGGTCACAGAGTCATCACGCGGGTCACAGCTTCAGCACATGTGTCATGGGGTCGGCGCACGGGTCACAGAATCAGCAAACAAGTCTCAGGGTCAGGAGACGATCGGAATAATCAGCAGCGGGGTAATTGGCCAAACGGGTCACATAATCAACAGCCAGGTCATAGGGTCAGGAGACGGGTCCAGGGTCAGTAGACAAACCAAGGCGCTAGGAGATGGCTCGGGCGGTGAGCAGACAAGCCCGACGGTCAGCAGACGGGTCGTACAGTCAGCACGGACGAATCAGGTGACCGATGAAATGTGCAGACGATCAGCGGAAAGATCAGACAGTCAGCGGACGGGTAAGATGGTCATCGGACGGGTAAGATGACCTGCAGACGGGTCGTAGGAAAGCAGACGGACTACGCAATCAGCTGACCGGCAAGATGGTAAGCAGTCTGGTCAGACGATCCACGCACAGCCCAGCTAGGTCGAGAAGGTCAGCACACTACGTCAGACGTTTATTATTATTTGCCAAAGGCCAACAATCCGTATAAAGCAGGTCGAGACATCAGCACACCGTGTCCAGGCCAACCAAATTGTAACGGCCTAGACTAATCAGCGAGCAAAGCTACCTGAGACAACCTCGCTGCCATGGACAAATGTTCCATCGGTCGCACGTCTGCGACTGACAGCCACGATCCAGTGGTAGACACCAAAGCGGAGTAATAACAGACGGAACGAAATATTGGCAGACCCATGAAATGTAGCAAGTGTTACATTCAAGCCCAAGGCCAGTTGAGTGCTTTGGGCGCCGTGAGTCTGATAAAACAGCGGTGGATGGGAAAAATTCACGTTAAAACCTGAACGTTAAACCTTACTTCATAGTCAAGATGGTCGTAACTGTAACAGCGGCGCAGGTCAGCGGTGCCGAACTAGCTCCCAGAAAGGGTGTCAGTTTCCGCTCCAAAATATTTCCAAGAGTTACATAGTGTCGCAGAATTGCGTGCATGACGTAACACTTGCCATGCTTCTGACCTAAGCCCTGGCGCAGAATCCTAATTTCCTTTCGTCATTTCGGTCCTCGCCGATAGGGCTCGCTCACCTGGTTCCAACGTCAACAACGGAGCGTTTTTAATATATAAAAGTCACACGCACCATGCCTAAACATCGGCTGCGACGGCACGGGGTTGCGTCGCGTCAGCTGATATGATATGTGATAAGATAATGATGTGATATGTGGTAGGTGATGTGATATGTGGTAATGTGACGGTATGGTAGGCACGATCCTCCGGCACCGGAGAAAAACAGCACCAACACCGCACTCAGTGAACCCTTCCCTCCCCTCCCACCATTTCCGCCGTAACCGTCCTCTGGTGCCCTGCGAACCCCCATACAATCCCACGGACCGGCAGGTAAAGGCCCCCCGCACCGATCGTAAAGTACGGTAAAGGCCCCCCGCACCGATCGTCCACTTTCAGTGTCGGAAAAGCCAGGAATTCCTCCGGCACCGGATCAGCCACGCACGCAAGCCTTAAGTCGGGACTTCTCGCGATTGCCAAGAGGTTTCGTGTTAGACTCTCATTTATGGCGACGTCGGGCCGACTTAAGAACCAGAGTTCGGCCTGAGCGGTGGATACGACATTTATGCAAAGCTGTCGGGTTAAACAGTGCAACATGTGACTGATTCAAATGCATGAAGCAACCATTTCATATGCCTATACGACAGTGCGTGCTGGTTGATGACGTATCATGTGACTTCTGGCGGCCACATCGACCGGTGACCCCGGTAGACCGCTTTAAATGCATAACTCGTGCGCGGTGAACGGCCTCCAGGGCTTATAAAGCTATTGGGTTAGTTTGTTTCATGAGACTGGCAAATGACGCTATAAATTGCATCCTGGCGAAGTTCATCACATCTCTCTCTCTCTCTCTCTCCTCTCTCTCTCTCTCTCTCCTCCTCTCTCTCTCTCGCCTCTCTCTCTCTCCTCTATTCTCTCTCTCTCTCTCCTCTCTATCTCTCTCTCTCTCTCTCTCTCTCTCTCTCTCTCTTCTCTCTCTCTCTCTCTCTCTCTCTCTCTCTCTCTCTCTCTCTCTCTCTCTCTCTCTCTCTCTAAGCAAAAAACGACGCGGCAGATGAAAGGAAAAATAAGATAATACATCGTACGAAGTAGAGCAAGGTTGCCATACTATCCAACAGGTTTTGCCAAATCTTAAACGCATAAAACAGTGGTCCCAAAAATTCAAATAACGCCATGGCTAAACGCAATTATGATTCAATGACGCATGAAATACATTGTGCGTTTGACTGTCGTAATATCTCTAACTTGATCTTGAAAAAAATTATACTGCACTTGTGAACAGGAAGCATGCGCACTCTTGAACTCGTGCCAGAGGCCCCAAATGCTACATCACAGCGTCACAGCTTTTGGAAGGGCCTCATGCCACCAACTGGTATAATTCTACAACCAGGAGACTTCTACCCGCTGTGTGGCTGATCCATTAATTGGCGATACATGTATGCTCGTATAGATGTGTGTATACATGCATACATACATACACATATATTAGATATGTATATATATATATATATATATATATATATATATATATATGTGGTAGTGCATAATATACACGCAACACCACTGACACAACACATCTGCGCCTACGGTATCTACACAACACTACACACACACCACGACACCGACACCCACACACAACACACACACACACACAACCACCCACACCACACACACACACACACACGCACACGCACACGCCCACGAACACACAGACACAGACACACACACATATATATACTATATTTTATATATATATATATATATTATATATATATATATATATATATGATGTATCTGCGGATTACAGCACGTTTAATAGCATTGTTCGTGTCAGCAAGCATGTTGGAACTGTTCCTCCCCGAAGTTTGCTGATCTAGGGCACGCCCTTAGAATCAGTTACCTAATAGGGTCATGCCCTGGATGCCATAGTGAGTGACTGAAACAATGCGTACCAAGAACGTAGCGTTCCACTGAAAGTTCCGCCAATAAAGGTTAACGCGCATGCACGCTTTGCTCAACCTTCGTCCCAATTTGGCGACATTTCTGTCTGAGGCGGCATGAATGCGTGGGAGCCATGGCAGCAAGTCATTTTGAGAATGAAACCACAAGAATCGCGGGCACGACGTTGCCGTTAGAGTTTTTTTTAAAAGATTTTATCCGAACCCTTTTGAATGGATGGATTTCCGGGATCAGAGCTCACGCTAAGCAGTGCTTGTTGTGCGAGCCCTGACCCTACCATCCGATCGCGCAATTCCATGTCAACGGCAGAATTTGGTGGCGAAAGCTTAACGTGCCGCAGTGCTCGGCACAGTCCGTCCTGCCCTCTGACGTCAACTGACCTTTAGCGCGACCGCTGCCACCGGCCGCAGGCCATACCTGTCAGGGGCAAATAACGTCCTCCACCGTGACTTAACCCCGCACAGGACCCTATACCGGGTGTGCTTGGCTGTCGCACGGGGCCCGAACCAGGCGGCACTTCGGCCCATTCATGCCTGGCGAATGTGGCTCCCCGCGGATGAACATGGCCTAGTGAGGATATGGGATGACGCGAGAATGGGAAAAGATCATCCGCCTGGGATGCTGAAATCAAACACGCCCACCACTAAACCCGTCCGTCGCCAAAGGCGGCTTGGCAATGACCACCGATCTGGCAACATCGTCCCTGGCAATTCGACGCCTCAGCGGCCAAGCGGCGGCCAGGGCACCTCCGGCCCATGACACCCGGAAACGGTGGAGCGGTCGTCGCGGATGGAGGGGCGCAGCTGCGACGTTCTCAGAGCCGGACTTTGCTGGAGGCACAGACGCCGGGCACAAACTCGGTCGAGTGGAGGCACTCGGTCTAACAGCGTCAGGAAGTTTTATCCGAAGCAGTTCCAGGAACTAAACAGTGCTGTACGGGTGTGTATATGATCTAGACGCTCCGAGTTAGAGAAAATGACGAAAACAAAGCTACGAAGTTGGGGGCATACTGTCATGTTGTTAACTCACTACTGGATGTGACTGAAATGTAGAGTAAATGAATTGCATAGATGGCTATCTGGATTATTCGCAGAATCTTCCATAATATGACTTTTCCGGTATCCTCGTAGCATCCATAAAACACAAAATATCAAATCAATAGAAACATCCAGACATTACGAAAGGTGACATAAACACCGCAAAAAGCCATAGCAACCGCAGGTAAGCGACCAGGCTGTCCTTACATGTTAAGAGTAAACTATAATTATGATCAGATATCGTAATAACTTCACGAAAGAACTTACACACACACACACACACACACACACACCACACCACATATATATATATATATATATATATATATATATATATATATATATATATATATATATATATAGCTTAAGGGGAGCCACCGGTTTTCAAGAAAATTGGAAATACCCGATACCAGCGTAAAATATTCTTTGTTTACCCATCCCAATGGCAGGTTTTGCGTATATTCCTTCAGCGCATTTAAAAACTATGAGGTTCACAGAGCAGCCTTCTTTCGTCATTCAGAAGATGGTTCAGGCTGGGTCCTCGCCTCCCTGTGAAGCGAAACCGGGAAAGGGGAGGGGGAGCCTCCACAGTGACCACCAACGCCCGTCACTGTGGCTGACGCGGTGACTGATGGCGTGTCCGGTGAATGGCGATCGTCGCTGATGGTGTGGTCGTTGACGAGAAGCTGTCACTGATGGTGTGGTCGTTGACGAGAAGCTGTCACTGATGGTGTGATCGTTGACGAAAAGCTG